GTGCGTAATGTCTGTCCAGCAAATGTGTCTATAGGATTCAGAGAGGTCCATGGCGAACCTGTGCATTTGTTCACAGTGTTTCCCTTTGCGATGATGGATGATGGAGCGTGTCTGTGTTCGACGCCGCCAGATATGTGCTCCGCCTATTGCTGTTCTCCGATAAAGGAGACCAACTGCTGGAAAACGTCTGGTACGAACGATATGGTAGTCCTGTCGTTTGTTGAAAAAAGAGGTTGGCTCAGCGCGTAATCGCGGACACGCCCCATCATCCGCAACGAACCTGAGTATGAGTTGTACTTTCAGTCTTCAACGGACTTACGAGATAATGTCGACTTATTATAAATAATTTCAGTTATTTCGGATTAAATGATGGTTGGAAGTTTTCTACTATTTCTTTTACATATCCGAGTTCTCTACAAAGCGAGTTCCGCTACTCTGGACTCAGCACACTGAGACCTTTGCGCTGCTCGATACTGGCTACCGCCCTCATTACGACCCCCCTCTCCTGGCGCGCCAAATACGACCCCCCCCTGGGGATGGCCTCAACCAATGATGTGCCCTGGTCTAAGATCACGCTGGCTAGCGGCGGGATGTTTGCCTCTTGATCGAAAGCCGCAATAACCTTGCCCTTCGTCTCCTGACCTGCACTCTAGCGCACGCCGCCGCACAATCTACACACTGTCCGTTCTGGACTCGATAATATAGCTTAGCGATCGATAATAGCCTCCAGCAGCTGATTTTGCGAAACTTTCGCAGTATTTTTTCTTACATTTAGCTTGAAAAAGCTTGAGATTTTCGACTTTCGGCCTCAGTCGTTGAAGGTGAGTGTTCTTACTAAAATCTTATCACAACTTGCATGAATTTAGCTTGAATTCCCCTAGAAAACATTTTTTCCTTCTGATTTTCTTCATTTCTTCACATTTTCTTCAAAGGCGACTTCGAGCTTCGGAATAGAGTCAGAATGGTTCTCGATAATAACGAGATCACATCCAAGACACTTCTTCGAAAACCCGTTCAATAACATAGTGTGGGACAATAAGGAAAAATTTGGACGAATTGCGAATCAGAAGGAAAGAATGTTTTGTAGGGGAATTCAAGCTAAATTCATGCAAATTGTAATTACAATTTTAGTAAGAATACTCACCTTTAACATTGAAGCCGAAACGAAAAATCTCAGCTTTTTCAAGCTGAATATTGGCGGGAATCGGAGAAAATTCGGCAGGAATCAGCTGATCGGCAGCGTTAGCCATTATCTATCGGCGAGAGTGCAGCGACATAAGAGGGAGTAGAGGGGCGCGGGCGAGGTGTGTGTTAGGGCGCAGAGTCAGTGTAAGAGACGGAGAGGCAATGATGAAATTTCCTACAATTTCTCGGCTTTCCACGACACGCAATCAGCGGGATGCTCGCCGGGACGTGGTCGTAGGGAACGCCCCACCGTTGAGCGTTCCACTGTATTTCATTTGAACATGGGGCAGGTATGCGTTTTTCATCCGACATTCCCACCTGAGGCAACCCGCGCAACCGTTACCACATTCAAACGTTAGTACCCAGCCACATCCTTCGGTCACAAGAACTCAAGGCGAAAGCAAACATTTTTATCATCCCGCGGGTCGCGTTGTGCTTTCAAGTAATGCAAGAGGGACCCAGCGCATGGGCTGCTGTATGCAATTACACACTTGCGCGCTGCTTGGCTACCGTAAGCCTACGTATCTCATGCCTACTTTGAATGTTTTGCGAGGTTTGTTTGTTGACAGCGCCGCGAAGAAGCAAAGGAATGCTTAGTTCGTTTACTTGTAACATCACATATAATTTCCGACCATCAGACTGATGAAAGCCTCTCGTCCTAACTTCTCTTTGCGGCTCCATTCACTATTACTATCCAACCCTCCCAAAACAGTCCAGTTTTTCACCGACCTTTTTTCTTAACTACGCCAATTTGGTTGAAAACTCGCTTCCACGGGTAGTTCAACCTACTGAACACGGAATTTCTCATTGACTAAGCGCAAAGCTGGCGCATGCGTCGCAGGCGCCTCTAAATCACCAAATCACACCGAGAACAAATGGGGAGCATCTTGGTTACGAATATGACATTGCGTTGACGCTGGCGACAATCTGCAATGATTTGCGCTCCGCTAAAGCTCTGTCAGCCTCAAGAGACTCACTCCTCCTGCCAGCCTTAAGCCTATAAAGAGCGCTCAAGGGCGTTTATGGCGCTTTCGTCGAAAAACAAATGCCATATTTCAGATCAGGACATCAAACAATTCAGTTATGCGAGATTTCCATGAAAAAGGATATGCCGCTTGCTTGGAGTATACGGAGGAATTGGAGCAAGGCAAGACTTTCTTTTATTTGAAGCATCACATAGCCTTTTTTCAAATGGCCTTTTTCAGTTGAACAACTTACCGTACATTTATATTCGTACAAACAGTGATCCAGCGAAATCTGCAATAACAAGAATCCTACGAGTCGCCCAGCGGCACCATTAGCCCAGAACGTCTAACAAAATTACAGTCCGCATTGGCAGTGCTGCTGCTTTGGTGCGGTTTGGCAAAATCGTTCTGCACCACTTTTTGAAGCGGACAAGTGCATTTCTGTATTATATCCTTCGTATTACTCGTTTTCTACTTTTTGTCGCATACGCGTTGCAACAAAAAAGGCTGAGAACGCCTTCAACAGCGTGCGCACTCCTTCTGGCTGGCACGCCCCACCGGTCCGCAATGGTACTTTGCTGGAGCGTTGACTATGCGGGTTGTTCTTGATCAGGAGGAGTATGATGTCCATCCATGGAGCCAGCATCAAGTGACACCATCACGCGTTGGTTTGGCACTACCAATTTTTTGCTGTAACTTTGCCCGCAGGCGTAATTCGGTGACCAGTCACGAATACACCTTTCGTTTTTCGCTGCCAGCTTTCTGACCAAATTCGATGTCAGTGCATTAGTAGGTTACTTGATGTCCTGATCACAAATACCGCATTAGTTTTTTTTGCCCTAGCTCCCTATGACGCCATACTCTTTTTCATCACAATCGATGAAAACCTGCATAGTAAGGTTCTTTGGTGTCCTGATCACGAATGTGACATTCATATTGCGACAACAGCGCCATTTAGCGCCCTTCTGAGGGTGAGCCTGGGAGAAGGTGTGATTACCTACAGGCCAGGCTGAGCCTTAGTACAGCGTAAATGATCGTAGTGCCTTCACCACCACCAAAAATAAATGTGTCATTTGTAATCAAAACCCAAATAACCTCCGCCTACAAGTTTTCAGCGGATTTGGTGACTTAGGGTGTTTTGGCGCCGCGCCTGTGGCGCGAGTGTCAGGTGGTTTCAGGGCGGATGTGATATTCGTGTTTAGGACCCCGGAGACAAGTTTTCAGTGAATCTGGAGATTAAGGGTTTAGCGCCCGTGCTTGTGGCGTACCCTTGTACCTTACCTTCAGCCAAATCTTCCCTAGAAAAAGTCGAGCAAAATCCCGCCTGTTCTCAGAAAATTGGTTAGTACTTGAATAGCATAGTGAGGTTAGTTGATGTACTGATAGCGAATATGACACCCATCCTTTGCGCAGTTGCCATTTGGTGCCAGATTGGTGCCGGCGCCAGCTAGGAACCACCATCATTTCTAACAAAATTGAGAGAATAGTAACGAATGTAGTGGAGAAAGTCGTGGCGCAGAATCGGTGGCGGTGAACTCTCGCACCAAGAAGACCAGTGATAAAAATAAATCAGTTCGCAAATAATGCTAGCATGCAAGTTTATGCCGATTTTAGAGAGATAAGAATAGGTCGCCATTTTGGCGCCGCATGGCGCAAGCGCTAAAAATGAATGTTATGTTGTTGTGTTATATTTGTGACAAACACGCTGCAACTCTACACCAGGTTTCATGGGAAAGATGAGAGCACCAATTAGCACACTCTCACGCCAGGTGACGCCGGCGTCTGAAACGGATGTCGTAATTACAACCAGAGCTTGGGTATGCGAGTTGTTTCAGATTCGATGATAACGGCGATAGCTCCAAATTCCTCCGTGTACTCCAAGCAAGCGGCGTATCCTTTTTCATCGAAATCTCGCATAACTGGATTGTTTGATGCCCTGATCATGAATATGGCATTTGTTTTCCGACGAAAGCGCCATTTACGCCCTTGAGCGCTCTTTAAGCTTAAGGCTGGCAGGAGGAGTGATTCTCTTGAGGCCTGACAGAGCTTTAGCGGAGCGCAAATCATTGCAGATTGTCGCCAGCGTCAACGAATGTCATATTCGTAACCAAGATGCTCCCCATTTGTTCTCGGTGTGATTTGGTGATTTAGAGCGCCTGCGACGCATGCGCCAGCTTTGCGCTTAGTCAATGAGAAATTCGTGTTCAGTAGGTTGAACTACCCGTGGAAGCGAGTTTTCAACGAAATTGGCTTAGTTAGAAAAAGGTCGGTGAAAAACTGGACTGTTTTGGGAGGGTTGGGATAGTAATAGTTGAATGGAGCCGCAAAGAGAAGTTAGTGACGAGAGGCTTTCATCAGTCTGATGGTCGGAAATTATATGTGATGTTACAAGTAGAACTAAGCAATCCTTTGCTTCTTCGGCTGCGCTATCAACACCAAACCCCCGCAAAACATTATGGGTAGGCGTGAGGTACGTAAGGCTTACGGTAGCCAAGGAGAGTGGTGTATGCATACAGCAGCCCATGCGCCCTCTTGCATTACTCTGTGCTTTATACCCTAGGGCGCATTATTTCGACTAGTCTAGGCGCCTCTTTTCACATGCTCATTGTGAGAACGATGTGATTTCGATGACAACTCATTTGTTGCTGGTCAGCCTTGTGTTATATTTATTAGAACTGCGTACAATACCTGGTCAATGCTATTTTTTTCATCAGGCGACCTCCCGTCGTCCCTACTGTTTAGCTTTGCAGTGGGATGAGCTTGGTGATTTAATGGCCAACTAACAATAAGAGATTCATGTGTCAGGAATTGGACTCATAATAGCATCCTGCCTCAAGTAATTTTCGTGTCATGAGGTAGTCTTTCTCCACTTCAGTCTTGTTAAATGAGTGGTTTCTGATTCTGCTACGTTTCAGTACTCGAAGCGTGTGGAGAATAAACGACTTTTCTTTAAGTTCTATTTCCTTCCGCTTAACGTTGTATCTGATCATCCCATTCAGCTGCGTGGGAGAGACCGCAGAGGCTAACAAGTGTAGTAGTGTATTGTAAGTGAAGTCTTGTACACAGCCTGCGTACATATGAGGTAGAACTCGGACGAAGCCGCACATGACATTAAAACTATTGTGTGGGGGCCTTCCTTTTTTCTTACTCCCTCATCATTTCAGGCGGTACTTGTCGACAAGATGGGGAAGACGAGGCGGAAATAACAGCGAGTGCTCGATTAAACTTCATTAAACTTCAAACTCTTTGGTATTCGTCTTATCCAGACTTTATGTTTGTCAGCTGCTTGCAGCCCTTCTTGTTTTCAAGTGCCGCCTGAAATGAGGAAGTAAGAAAAAAGCAAGGCCACACAATAGTTTTAAATGTCATGTGCGGCCTAGTCTGAGTTTTACCTCATATATACACAGGCAGAGTTCAAGTCTTCGCTTCCCTCGCAGCTGAATGGGATGGTCAGATACAACGTTGAGCGAAAGGAAATAGAAGTCAACCTGAAGAAAAGTCGTTTATTCTCCTCATGCTTCGAGTATAACGTAGCAGAATCAGAAACTACTCTTTTAATAAGACTGAAGTGGAGGAAGACTACCTCATGACACGAAAATTACTTAAGGATGCAGGATGCTGTTATGAATCGAATTCCTGACACATGAATCTCTCTTATTGTTAGTTGGCCATTACGTCGCCAAGCCGATCCCATTGTAAAGCTAAACAGTAGGGACGAGGGGAGGTCGCCTGAAAAATGAAGCAAATAGCATTGACCAGGAATTGTACGCAGTTCTAATAAATATAACACAAGGGTGACACAGCAACAAATGAGTCGTCATCGAAATCACATCGTTCTCACTATGAACATAACGGGAATGCGCCTAGACTAGTCGAAATAACGCGTCCTAGGATGGAAACCGTGACGCGACCGCGGATGTTGAGATTGTTCGCTTCCCGTTCAGGCATTGTTCACAGTCTCCAGGCCACGGCGGTTGGGAGAAAAGCAAAAGATAGTCATCGATCGGAGAATCGCCCAACCGCCCAACCTCCATCCGCCGCGGTTGGGCGGTTGGGCGAAAAGCAATAGATGTATCGATTTCGCTGGCGAAAAACGTCACCGCGATGGAGCTAGCGTTTTGTCGAAGGCGAAAAACGTCGCGGTTTGGCGAAACGCCCGTCGATACGTACCAAAACCCTTTCGCCCAACCGCCAGGCTCTTCGCCCAACCGCCGGTCGATATGTATCGAAAGCTTTTCGCCGAACCGCCGCTGGACCACAGAGTGTGAACAATGCCTTAAGTTCTTCTCTCGCTCTTCGGGAGTTGGAATGTAGTGAATTGATGGCTATTTGAATGTACTTCGTTGAATAGTGTAGCTCACGCGCGCTCTCATCAATGTGCGCAAAAGATGAAATTGTCCTCTCGACTTTCGGGTTCACATTTATTATAATCTTTGTTGCAGTGAAGCTGACCTGGAGCGATTATATGAGGAGTGGGAGAAGAACGATCCAGAGAGAGATGATGACGATGATGAACCTCAAAAGCGTGAACGCATTGCAGTTGATTTGAAAGATGCTGCAAAGGTATGTTGGTATTTTGTTCCCCAAAGTAGGATCCCATTATAATTTAGCCCATTGTAATCGGCATATACCATTAGGCAAGTTTTTCAGCACTGATTTCTAATCTGCTCTCTTATTCTGTAATTTGACTGTTAAAAGCTCTCTCGCCGTTCAACTCATGGGTTGATTTGTAGCAGGTGGCCTTGCCATCACACTGATGGGTTTGCAGGAGCGCAAAGTACGTGAACTCTTCTCTACCGTGTTTTTTCAGACTTGTTGAAAGGAGATAGCCTCGTACCTATTTCACTGCTGCTCGGTGGCTGATGACCTACGATCATTCTTTTGAACTTTTCTGCTCTGAGTGTCCCTTTCGTGGACGATTATCTGATATTCTGGAGGACATCTAAATACCGAGCTGAAGATTCCCAGACACCGCGTTCAGACACCGCGATGACGCGCGTCGACGAGCCACGACGCGCTGTCATTGCAGTGAGGGCAAATCATCCTTGTCACAAAGGGGACGTATTTTTTCACTAGGAAGGAAGCGGGTAGTAAGCGCAGAGGTCAGTTGGCACTGAAGAGTGATCGAACGAAAGATAGCAGAAACACATCTGCCTGCTTGGGGGAACAATAGTTACACCTTGCCATCACCTCTGCATGAGAGTCAGATGCATGGCGCGATAGAACGTTGCTGTAAATTGACGTCTACCAATATTTCCTATTCAGCTAAATGAGAAGGTATTCTAAGAGCGTATCTAGTTTTAAAACAGAGTGGAAGTGTTACGGTGGCGAGAGCAGTGGGTTTCCCACGAAGCGTAGATGATTTTGATTAAGCATTGTTCACAGTCTGCGACCTTGACAAAACGGCGGTCGGGAGAAAAGCAAAAAATAGTCATCTATCGGAGAATCGCCAACCGCTAGTTTCGCCGAACCGCCGCGGTTCGGCGGTTGGGCGAAAAGCAATAGATGTATATCGCTGGCGAAAAACGCCACGGCGATCGAGCAAGCGTTTCATCGAAGGAGAAAAACGTCGCGGTTTGGCGAAACGCCCGTCGATTCGTATCAAAACCCTTTCGCCCAACCGCCAGTCGATACGTATTGAAAGCTTTTCGCAGAACCGCCGCATTCCAGGAAACGCTGGACCGCAGACAGTGAACAATGCTTTACATAGCGGGGAAATGTTTAGAACCAGTTATTCTGCGAAAAAGTAAATGGGTAAATGTTGAGAAGAGGGAATCTTCTCGATTACAGCGCTGTTGCTGTTTTCTCAAATAGCCTCTAATGAAAAAAAATATGGCTGTTAATGAAAATTCAAATGTGACACCAAATTGACCACCAAACAAATCAACACCAAATTCCAACAAGTGTTCCACTTGGAAAAGAAATCTCAAAATAGGAAAGACACGAGCTATGTTAAGCACTTCCAAAAGTATAAGCATAGTACTTTCCGATGCTACTTTCATCGTTTCTCATTCTCTATTCCTCATGAAGTTGCGGTCGAACAAAAAGGGGTGTCCACTGTCGTGGGTATTAGAATCTCAAGTGATTCTCAGCTGCTGAAAAAATTTGCGAGCGGGAAGAACAACTCTATCCGACGCACGACTCAGGCACTTAAACTGATCGCAACCGCCGCCGACTCCATGCTGGGGTTGGGGAGGGGAGGGCCTTGTTAGTCAAAAACTACGCAAAACTTACGCAGCGCCGATGCTGTGTCTCGATTGCGAAGTCCCTACCCCTCCCCTCCCCTTGGGTGCTATAGACGAGAACGCAGCCATAGATGGGAATCGGTCGGCGTAGGCCCACAGTCTAATACCTTTCTGTTATCCTATTTTATCCCATACTCTTTAGAACACTAGCGGCCGGCGCCGATTGATACCTGTATGTGGCTGCGTTTCAGTCTATGGCATTGCAGCGCCTCTGCTGGTAGTGCGTCGAAGGACGTCTGAATGCCCTTATTGCATTTAGTGAAAAAATCCTTTTTGGACGCAATTCCTTCCTATGCATTTCCTTTCTCGTTAGTATTTTCTGTCATTTTCTTAAACAACCTGAGAGCGCGAGAATACCCGACTCTGCAGAGGGTGAAGTGTATTAAAGTTGTTCGATTGTTCCGAGGAGTTCAGTAGTTGAATATTCAGGCTTCGCCTTCCGCACTTTGTAGCTACTTTCTCACCGTGGAAAACAGCGTTGCTCATTTTTTTGGGTTTGATCCAAAATCCATGCCATGACCTATTATCACCAGACATATTACCGTCTGTGTAATTAGGATAGGATCAGACATCGAATTCGTAAATATGTAAACCAGTGTTGATAAAAGACAAAGTCATAGTCATAAGTTACTTCTTATTGCGTCTTCATACTTCGCGGATGTGGAAAATCGACGAAGGATCATCGTTGAAGGAAGGAATACAAATTGATCTGCATGACCCGATTTTGAACTGAGGGTGATTTAGAGGAATCCGCGACATTGGGAAGCATACGCATCGATCGGGAGAATCCGCAGATTGGGCAAACGGCGAGCAGAATGGATATCCGGAATCACGGATCCTTTTGCGAAGTATGTAGCAGGTTCACTCCTGACTGTGTTCAACAAGTAATAATGATTCGAAATAGGTGTTGAGTCTAAGAGTACTTTCTAAGAGTACTTCAACGGCATCTAAATAATTGTGAACAGCCCTGGGATCCCTCCGCAGTCAGTTTGATCACGTCTGTTGTTTGTATGATTTTTAGATTAAAAATCCGGAAGACTTGCTGAAAATGACAAAAAAAGGTCAAACGCTAATGATGTTCGTCAATGTTCGAGATCCACTAGTGCCCTCAAAGAAAGATAGGTCTTACACGGAGAAGATGACGGAACTCTGGCGTTCGATGCTTCACAATAATCACGTCCAATGCCAAGTGAGTAACAGCCACAATTTTTTAATAGGTAAAAAGTTGATTCGAATAGATGTGAAAGATCAGATCTCTGAGGTTCAGAAGACTGCGATAGATGACCAGCACATTTTCTCTTTCCAGGTTTTCTTAATTGACGACGATCGGGCCATTTTCATGTTTCCTGATGGTTCGCAAGCATTTGAGGCTAAAGATTTCTTGCTGAAACAGGCTGAGGTCACCGAGGTATGTCGCCACTTTTTCAAACTCTCGACATTTTTGTCACAACTTTCTCATAAACGCTAAGCTGGATGTCGTTGAAAGTTATAGGTGACATTGGAGGGGCAACAATACCCCGGTGCTGGAGCTGCTACGAAAGAAGAGTTGTGAATACCTAAATCAGTTTGTTCAACTGTGCCTCTTACTAATCTGTAACTTACTTCTATTTATTGCTTATTTTTGTAGGTTGAATATTTTTTATGTGCCTAGATTAAGGTCCGTCACTCAGGAGTTGTGTTTGTTTTTCACTGATAAATGATTTCGTTTGAAGACTGTGCTATGAATAACGGTGCACCCATTTTCTACATTCATCTTAGGAGACTAGCATCTGATTCTTCGGAAAAAAATGTCGCTAACATTTCAGAATGGAAGATAATGGGTATGAGGCTGCTTTGGACCAAATAGCTTCATTACTTCAGAGGCCGGATCAGCTCGAGAAACTTCCGGAGATGCGTAAAAAGGCAGATAGGAAAATGGTGACTTTTAAGCTTTCGATTGTTCAGCACCCTTGACTAGTTGCTGCGTTAATTTCAAAATTCCGGCCACAGTTCAACTGGAAGTTTTCTTCTAGCCATGTAGTCGGCCATTTCCAATGAGGTGCCCACCGTTGCACGCGTCGTGAACTCGAATCTACCTTCAATATTTGCAGAGCGTTCTGAACGAAGTTATGAAAGGATTCATCCCCGCGTGGTTGTTTTGCATGCTATCGCAAGCAAACGTGGAAAGTTTTTCTCAAATTCGAGTGGAGCGCAACAGGTAGCGAGCGGGTTTCCCAGGAGACAGGTCGTGAGATCGGTCCCCGTGATACTGCCCATTTTTCAAGAACATGGCTGACAAAGCTTCTCACATCTCTGATGGCCTGCACTAGCCTGTAGGGAAACCTGCAATCAGCTTTTTTTCCGAAAAGTGAACCATTGTGGAAAAGAAGCGGTTGTGCTTGTCCCCCTCGTAACTTATGGCACAAGGGTTTTTGAATGAAATAGTTGATATTAATGTTCAGCGGGTCATTTTGCCTCTGGGGAGAAGGCGTTAGACGGCGTTTCTGGCCAGATCTGGTATTTCTCTCTGACTTGGAAATGTAGGCTAGTTATGGGTAATCAGCAGCGGATTGGAGCTCATCTATCATCATGAATCGCCTTGGGAAGAATTTCCTCCCTGTAATGAGGAAAATGGTGTAGATGGCACGAATAAGTGAGCCAGGTATTGTTGTTCGCAGACATGACTGAAGAGTAATTTAAACTCGAAGACGAGTCATCAACAGTAGGCTAATTGTCGCATCGCTGTGAGCTACCAGTCAGCCATGACTAACCTAACTCTATTTCTTCGAAGTTATGTCAAAACCTCACATTTCGTTGGTGTGCCGGCTACGGGTTATTTGACCTGTGAACACGAATATGGTACTTGCTTTGTGCAATGTGCGTCCGCTACAGACACCCATCCTTCGGGCCAGCGCGTCGCTGCTTCACGTTGTCTGTTTGGCATCCTTTTCATGTTGCAAAGTTACCATAACACGTTTCTAGACGGAGAATGCTTATATCTCCAAGTAGAAAGAAGCAGCTGAAATTACTGATTATCGATTCAAAAAGTGACGAAATGCAGAGAGCCTCGCACAACCGGTCCAGAATGTGTTAAAGATAGTTTTGAGTTCACCATCTCAAAACGACTGTAACCATGTGCACCTTATTGCAAATGTCTAACTTTTTGACCTTTCCAGGTGAGCATCCCTTCGGAGCGGAGACACTTGCCCGTGTACCGGCTAGATTTGGCGCTAAGGCCCTCAACATGTATCATGCATTCTCTCTCCAACCGAATGTGATATTCTTGTTTTTAGGTCAACTATACGATAAGGCAAGCTCTTTGCGACAACCTGAACTTATAATCTTATGTGTGTTTAGGGACCCTTTTCCATTGAGAGGGGCAAATAAGCTAAATGGGCAGGGTGGGGGAAGGGGCAGATTGTTGGGGGGGGGGGAGTCGAAATTCCACCATGTTTGCCCTTACGGGAATTTTTTGATTGAAATCTGGTATAAATTGATGAGAGGGGTAGTAAAGGGATAATAGTGCCAAACTCTTGCTCAACATCCTCTATTCAGAATATGTCTACTCATGCATTGTGGTTCAGTAATGAACACCGACTGCAGTATCGCAGTACTGCAAAAAGGAACTAGAGATTTTCCTTCCTTTATTATATCTAGGTCCATTTTTTTACGACGTTGCGTAACGGTTCTGCCGGGCAGTAAACGTGATCGAGTTGTTTGACGCTTGTTTTTCCTTGGGATTTTTGTCACGCTCCCCAAATTAGCATCTGAAAGTCAGGCAAAGGACAGCTGGTATTGGGCCACGTGGTTCTTGAACGAATTTTCTATGGATTTGTAAGTGAGGGTAGCAGAACGTTCCGATGCGGCTGGTGTAGCTTTTCTAATCAGGAAGTGACCCTTTGCAATAGAATACACACCGACTGCATTTGAACGGTGATCCCAAACCGTATTCCGCACCTGCTGCGCACCTATCCGAACGGGTTGGGAAGGGTTTTTGAAATGCAGCCATAATCATTCACAGTTCGAAATTCCAGGGTGAGACTGCTTCGATCGCAGCTCAACGGTTACGCGGTTGGCTTCATGCCTGCAATTCGAATGCAGTTTAATGCAGTTTTTTCCACCTGAAGCAGCTTTCCACAGGAAATTTCTTTCGAGTGTGAGCATGCTTCCCCTAATGAACACCCGTACCATCGTTCAGAGAGGTCCGCAACAGATAAGGAATACGGCTTTGTAAACCTCCTCCAAGGAGACGTCATACGGTATACACACCATTTCAAACAGCCACTTCGAGTTGTAGTCTCTCTTTTGGATTCATTCAAGGCGATTGCTGACCGCGGTCACGGAAGCAGGAGCTCCCTGGGGAGTGCGGATGATAAACCGGGTAAGATTCCAACTTATTTTCACTATGCAACGGAAATTGCAATTTATTTGCTGGTGGAAGTAGTGTTAATTTTATTTCGGACAATCCACACCGAGGATCTTCACCGCAGCACCAATCCGATCAATGCTTGATATGGAATACGTTTCTTTCAGGATCTTTTGTTGAACTATACGTGAAATCAGTAGCTAATAGTCCTACTATATATAATCCACTAAGTATGTCTGTAAGTGTGTGTGCATTTGTCTGCTTGTGTGTGCGTCTGTCTGTCTGTCGAAATTCATAGCGAGCGTCGCTGAAAAGAGAGGATGACAGTACCAAGAAGTGATATACATGGCAGGACGGGAACACTTTTAGTGGGCGAAGTGGTAACACTTGATAAGAGTTGATAAAGAGCCTAGAAGGGGAGGGTTACCGAGTTCGTAGCGCAAGTTGCAGCAGCCGCGGGACTGTGATTTCAAGAAGTGATATACACGGTAGGACAGGAACATGTTTGGCGGGTGACAGAATCTGATAGCATCTGATATGATTTGATAAGGGGCCTTAGACACTGAGAGTCACCAGATTAGTAGCGCTTGCAGCGACTGTGGGACCTCGATTTCGAGAAGTGGTATAGGGGAAGGGAAGTGGACATGAATGGTGGGTGGCAGAAAGTGATAACACCTGATAAGATCCGATAAGGGACTTGGAAGGGGAGGGTGACTGAAAGAAGTAATATAAACGGTAGGGTGGTGACTTACAGAAGCTGATAACATCTGAAGACCCGAGAAGGGGCTTTGGCGCGGGTGTCACCAAATTCTTAGCGCAGGTTGCAGCGACCGTGGGACGTTGATTTCAAGACGTGATATTGGGGAGGGGAAGTGGACATGACTGGTGTGTGACAGAAGCTGATAACATTTGATAAGATAAGGGGCCTCTGATGCGGAGGGTCACCAACTTTGATGGGCAGGTTGCAGGGTCTGTGGGACCTTGGTTCAAAGAAGTAGTATAGGGAGAGGGGCGGAAATCCACTCACGGGTGACATCAAGTGACAGCAACTGATAAGGGTTGAAGGAGTCATGTTGGAATCCGCATCACCGCTTACAGCCACAATGCGATTATTTCAGGTATTAGGCTCTCAGTGCTTCGTACATAGCTCACTCCTATGCTCTTATCGCTAAACATGTACGGCCGCTAAAGCAACTGGATTTCAGAAGCATGGTAGTTGTTTACTTTCCATGATCAGCAGCAACTGGCTTTATCACTATGACCACGACTATCTTTCATCAACAACCTGAGAAAGGACCATTCGAAGCGTTAAACTGCCCGAAGGCGGGAGTGCATTCCAGAAAAAACCCTACAGTGGTGGAGAACGCATCAAGCGGTAGGATGCTTCAGAGGCTGCTCTAACAGGTTGCTGGATTTTCGTGTGAAGGTTATTGAGATTTTTGGTACTAAATCCGAGAAAAGAATTGACAAAAGGATAGATTTCAGGTTTGCAATGGGAGCACGGTTACAATCCTACCATATAATCGGCCATGTGTGTGCGTCTGTCTGTTTGTCACGAAATTCATAGCGCCAGTCCCAGTAGCAGCGAGACTTTGGTTCCAAGAAGTGATGTAGGGGTGTGACGGGAACACTATTGGTGGGTGATATGAAGTGATATCAGTTGATAATTTCTGATAAGAGGCCTCAGAAGGGGACACTCACCATATTCGTAACGCGGGTCGCAGCATCAGCGAGGTGTTGATTCCAACATATGATGTAGGGTATGAGACAGGAATGTTATTGGTAGATGACAAGGACTGTCACATGTTGATAAGATTCGAGGGATGTCAGAAGGGTGTCACTGAGTCCATCACGCGGGTCACAGCAACAGTGAAGGTTGATTCTGAGATACGATGTAAAGTTTAGGAAAGGAACACTACGTTGGTGACAACAACTGCCAGCATCTGATAAGATTGGAAGGGGCGTCAGAAAGATAAGGCCACTGTTTCCATACCGTGCGTCTCAGAGTCAGCGTTGGTTCCAGCAGGTGATATAGGGGGTGACATGGGGACAGGAACGGTGGGTGATGAAAAGCCATAACAACTGATGGGGACTGATAAGAGGTCATCGTTGTTCAATGTGTTAGAGCTTTCGAAGTACCAAATTCCAAATTTGTGAAGGGACACTGACGGCGTGTGGTAAGTAATCATATCAATTGATTAGACTCG